GTATCACATGACTTACCCTCAGCACTTTCAGTATCACTTACCCTAAACACTCAGTATCACGACTTACCCTCAGCACTCTCAGTATCACTTACCCTAAACACTCAGTATCACATGACTTACCCTCAGCACTTTCAGTATCACTTACCCTAAACAAAGTGTCACATGACTTACCCTCAGCACTTTCAGTATCACTTACCCTAAACACTTAGTGTCATAGAATTACAAACATACCTGTAAAAGTTGTCTGTAGAATTCTTCTTTCTCTAGATCAATATTAAAACCTGGATTAATGAATGTGTCATCACCTATAAAGTGAAATATCCCACGGTTATATCAAAAACAATGGTCAATATATTCAGGTCAAAAACAAGATCTAAAAACTTCTTTCTTTTTGACAATAACATATAAAAATACCCAGAATTCATGTAAAAAAAAAATTAAAACAAAAAGGCCCTTGTGTGCATTTGGGACAACCTTGGAATCTTATTATCACTTGTTCATATGGTGAATGTGTCTCTCATACCATTAAATGCTGTGTGCTCAGAATCATGTTTACAATTATTGAGGTGACATGATCCTTTAATAATAATGGCTACTGTCTACTTTTATGAACTTCATACTCAATTCACAATCTCTTTTAATGTATTGCCCTGCCCATTCATCTGAGTAACAAGTTTCATTGAAATCTGACGAGTGTTTTTGTTTTTGAGATATCTATGGAACAAATAAATAAAGGCGAATTTGTAAATACAAACAAGACAATAACAAGTCCACTTTCTGTTTGTGCCAAATAGTTATTTACACTTATGTGACAGACATGATACAAATGGAGCCAGTTTATTTGTGTTATTCTTTCCATTATTCTGCTGATTACATTCATAATTTCTATCACAGAAATGACTAGCAGTCGTCTCGAATTCTGAAACAGATGCATGTGCAAATATTTTACATGATGTAATTGGGAAGTTTGAACATGATCAGCCCAGCCATGTTAGCCTCCAAAAACAGCATTCGTTGAACACAAAATGGCCATCATTAGTTAGGTATTTTGTTTCGAATCTGGGGGAAAAATTATGTGCCTCAAGGACCCATAACAGACACACCAAGTTTGAATGAAATATATCCATACACGACAAAGATCTAGTTTCAGAATGGCAGGAAAGCTTTGATGTATTCTTAATACTAAAATGGCTACTTTTCGGCCACTTTATTTATGTACAATATGATGTGTGATGTATGTGTAAATACAAACGAGGACTAATTAGACAATTGTTCAGCACAGTTTAAAACCAAAAACTAAATAGCTCTGAGCATTGTCCCTGGCAACTATGAACCAGGTTTAATTGAAATATTGCTAGTTGGAACTCTAAATAATTATACTTACCATTTCTCAAAAGTTCTTCATGAAGCACGAAATAAAACAGCTACAATATTAAAAAAATCAATAATATTGGCAAAATGTCCACCACTCATTAAAATGTCAAAGAAATGAGAAATAATTCAAAGTGTATACAATTATGACTTGTCTTTATACTAACAAAATCAGTCAAGGTATGTTTGAGCAATGACAGCAGATAAACACATAAATTCTCGTTTCGGGGTTCAACTTGTACTAAAAACTTGTGATGTTTAGTAATCGTGTGATGAATATATACAGGACCAATTAGATGAAATGTTTATCTACTTGACATGTAGTTTAAATACTATACTGTAAAATACTTTAAAATATATTTTTTGGGCGTTTTGTTTGGAATTTATTTTCACCAATTTTTGATGAGTTAAATGTAATATATAGGAAAAAAGGTATATTTGCTGGATTTATTTTTACTGAATCATTCCTTCAGCGAAAATACCGAAAATCAATTCTAAGCGAAAATTAATTATTCTACAGTATTAGGTAGCATAATTAATTGCATCAGCGATCATAAAAACTATATTCTATGGATCAGGAATGGTTCTTTGATTGTACTTACGATTTCACAGAATTCATCGTCTGTCAAATCATTAATGTCATTGTCAAAATATTCATCTATATTGTCTTCAACATCTGTATAATAAAATGAGAATGAAATTATACCTTTGTAATCACAACTACTGTAAACAGCATCATCTAACTATAAACCTGGAAAGCATATACAGTATGAAGGTGATAAATATATACATGTATACACCTAAAGGGTTCTGACAGTCCTCATATGACTGTCTAAAATCTGTAAAAATATTTATTGAAAAATATTCAATTTTCAGCCACTGCATTTCATCTGCCCTTTAATCAATTACTGTATTGTAAGCAAGACTAAGTTCCTGGAATCTACTTACCATCAAGAATTGTATTGTAAGCAAGACTAAGTTTCTGGAATCTACTTACCATCAATAATTGTATTGTAAGCAAGACTAAGCTTCTGGAATCTACTTACCATCAATAATTGTATTGTAAGCAAGACTAAGTTTCTGGAATCTACTTACCATCAATAATTGTATTGTAAGCAAGACTAAGTTTCTGGAATCTACTTACCATCAATAATTGAATTGTAAGCAAGACTAAGTTCCTGGAATCTACCATCAATAATTGTATTGTAAGCAAACTAAGTTCCTGGAATCTACTTACCATCAATAATTGTATTGTAAGCAAGACTAAGTTCCTGAAATCTCCTTACCATCAATAATTGTAATGTAAGCAAGATTAAGTTTCTGGAATCTCCTTACCATCAATAATTGTATTGTAAGCAAGACTAAGTTCCTGAAATCTACTTACTATCAATAATTGTATTGTAAGCAAGACTAAGTTCCTGGAATCTACTTACCATCAATAATTGTATTGTAAGCAAGACTAAGTTTCTGGAATCTACTTACCATCAATAATTGTATTGTAAGCAAGACTAAGTTTCTGGAATCTACTTACCATTAATAATTGTATTGTAAGCAAGACTAAGTTCCTGAAATCTACTTACCATCAATAATTGAATTGTAAGCAAGACTAAGTTCCTGAAATCTACTTACCATCAATAATTGTATTGTAAGCAAGACTAAGTTTCTGGAATCTACTTACCATCAATAATTGTATTGTAAGCAAAACTAAGTTTCTGGAATCTACTTACCATCAATAATTGTATTGTAAGCAAGACTAAGTTTCTGGAATCTACTTACCATCAATAATTGTATTGTAAGCACGACTAAGTTCCTGAAATCTACTTACCATCAATAATTGTATTGTAAGCAAACTAAGTTCCTGGAATCTACTTACCATCAATAATTGTATTGTAAGCAAACTAAGTTCCTGGAATCTACTTACCATCAATAATTGTATTGTAAGCAAGACTAAGTTCCTGAAATCTACTTACCATTACTAATTGTATTGTAAGCAAGACTCGGTTCCTGAAATCTACTTACTATCAATAATTGTATTGTAAGCAAACTAAGTTCCTAAAATCTACTTACCATCAATAATCGTATTGTAAGCAAGACTAAGTTCCTGAAATCTATTTACCATCAATAATTGTATTGTAAGCAAGACTAAGTTCCTGAAATCTACTTACTATCAATAATTGTATTGTAAGCAAGACTAAGTTCCTGAAATCTACTTACCATCAATAATTGTATTGTAAGCAAAACTAAGTTCCTGAAATCTACTTACCATCAAGAATTGTATTGTAAGCAAGATTAAGTTCCTGAAATCTACTTATCTTCAGTAATTGTATTGTAAGCACGACTAAGTTCCTGAAATCTACTTACTATCAATAATTGTATTGTAAGCAAGACTAAGTTCCTGAAATCTACTTACCATCAATAATTGTATTGTAAGCAAGACTAAGTTCCTGAAATCTACTTACTATCAACAATTGTATTGTAAGCAAAACTAAGTTCCTGAAATCTACTTACCATCAATAATTGTATTGTAAGCAAGACTAAGTTCCTGAAATCTACTTACCATCAATAATTGTATTGTAAGCAAGACTAAGTTCCTGAAATCTACTTATCTTCAGTAATTGTATTGTAAGCAAGACTAAGTTTCTGAAATCTACTTACCAGCAATAATTGTATTGTAAGCACTACTAAGTTCCCGAAATCTACTTACTATCAATAATTGTATTGTAAGCAAGACTAAGTTCCTGAAATCTACTTACCATCAATAATTGTATTGTAAGCAAGACTAAGTTCCTGAAATCTACTTACCATCAATAATTGTATTGTAAGCAAGACTAAGTTCCTGAAATCTACTTACTATCAATAATTGTATTGTAAGCAAAACTAAGTTCCTGAAATCTACTTACCATTACTAATTGTATTGTAAGCAAGACTCGGTTCCTGAAATCTACTTACTATCAATAATTGTATTGTAAGCAAAACTAAGTTCCTGAAATCTACTTACCATCAATAATTGTGTTGTAAGCAAAACTAAGTTCCTGGAATCGTTTTGTTGCTTCATCGTCTCCTAGATTTTTATCAGGATGTACTTCTAATGCTTTTAATTTATAGGCTTTTCTTACTTCATCTATAAAAGATAATATAAAATGCTATAAACAAAATAGAAATGAACGCCAGAAAGGATGATTTTGCATATCCAGTAAATTAATAATTTTGCCAGCAACCAAAGAGTCATAATAGCCGCTGACAATCATCTATACGAACAGCTAAATGTATAGGATCTGTCATCTTTGATGACAGCACAGCTAAGAATTAAAGATATCGCCACGAAATGAACAAATCTGGTGAGGGCTTGTAGTTTTCAAGAATTTGAAAATGTAATATGAACAGCTCCACTGATGACAGCAGAGCTAAAAAACTTTATTTATTCGGTAAATATTACTACTACACAAATCACTTATAATTATATATCATAGTTCTTTCTAGTAAGACTTCCTCGTCATATATGCACAATCTTTTTACTATAATGCAGTCTATCATGTGTGTATTTTATTTAATGTCATCAATGAGGACTTCCAGTTGCTGCAACCAAATAGGTTGATTGCATTTTTTTAAATCACATATATGCCAAAAATATTAGGACAAAATAACATTTCACTAGGAATGAACAAATCTGAGATAGATGCCTTCAAGGTACCTATCATATATAAAATGACAAAATATTTATGGAGTTCATATTCTGTCCCGTGTTGTAGAGTTCATATCCTGCCCAGTGTTGTATATACAGTTCATATCCTGCCCAGTGTTGTATATAGAGTTCATATCCTGCCCA